TGCTTCAGCCCCTGAACCAGCGCCAGCCCCCGGCTCCACTCGCGAAAGTAGAGAAACTTGCTGGTCAAATCGAAGGACATGTGGCTTGGCGAGAGACTAATTTGCCAAATGTACTAAGTCAAGCTTCTCGAATCCTGCTCTCCATGGCCAAGTACCTCTCCGATGCTACTATGGCTAACTATGTGATGTCCAGCAGACACAAGTCGGGCTTGACCATGCTGACGGAAAGCACACAATGGCGCGCCCCACCACAAGCAAGTGTTTCACTATGAGAACGGGGCATGGATCATGATGTCCGGACTCAAGGTGGAGGCTTGGGATACTTTACTTGCCCTCGAAGGTCTTTTCATCCAACTCGCCACCAACCTGGAGGAAAAGTCTGAAGTTATCGGGTTCTCATGGACAGAGGCTGAGTCTCATGTCACGCAGATTGTAACTGCCTTGGCTACTGAAGATCAGGATGTGTGTCAGTCACTCATGGCGGTTGCAAAGGATCAGAGTGACTATCCACGACAAAAGACTTGCAACAAAGGCTGGCTTGCCAAGTGGACTCGTCGGATGGCTGATATGGTGGCCTCATTTCGGAAACAGTTAGACTCTGACGCGATCATGGCGACCTTGACGAAGCACTTCCTCATAGAGTGGGAGACACCGACTCCACGTGCTCAGGGAGTTTGTTTCGAGGGTTTATTGTCTCGATGGATCGTGGAACATGGCCGAGTAGTCTCCCGCGAACAACTGCTACCTCAAGCTGGACTATCATATTTATGTTTGATTCAGGGTCATGGGGATTGTACGCCTGGAAGGCAAAGTTTAACGTTTCGGAAGCTCCAAAGCCAGAACCGCTCAACCGTAAGCTTTCTCCCACGGTAAGCATTTGAGGCACCCGTCAGTCAGCAGCGCCAGGGAACGGGAGAGTGGACTTGGCTCTGAGATGTGGAGCATACCTGTTCAGGGTGTAGGGTTCAGAAGTGAATAGGCCTTGTTCGATTTAAGGCAGTAGCGGCTTAATGTTGAGAAAGCAAAGGCTTAATCTAAAGCTTTATAGTATACAAACCCCAAACGCAAAGCCTTAAGCCTCAAACCGCAAGGCCAGAACCTCTGAACCCTGGGCCCTTGTCCTCTGCCGCGGCAAGCATCTGAGTCACCCGTCAGGAGCGGCCTGAGATGTGGAGCCGAAGAACTTTTATGGGGTGTAGAAAGTGGTCAGTGTGTATGGTTCAGAAGACTAGGCTTTGTTCGATTTAGGGTCGCAGCGGTTTTACGAGAGCGCAAGCGCCCAAACTAGGCCTTGTTAGAAACTTCAAACGACGCAAGCCTAAACCTCGACCCCCAAAGCCAGAACCCCACAACCCTAGTTCCTCGTCCTCACCTGCAGTTCATTAATGTTCATGATGTACCTGCCGGGTTACCTACCTATGCTTAAGTAAGCATCTGAGTCACCTGTCAGTCAGCAGCGGCCGGGGACGGGAGAGTGGGTTTCATGGCTTTGAGATGTGGAGCCTAACAACTTTTTGAGGGTTTAGAAGGTGGTTAGGGTGTAGGGGTCAGAAGAATTGGCTTCATTAGATTCAAGGTCGTAGCGGCTTGGCATGTAGAAGGCAGGGGCCTAATCGAAACCTTTGCAGAGTCCTCAAAACGCCAACCACTAAACCCCAAGTCCCAAAGCCAGAGCCCCGCAACTCTAGGCCTTCGCCTTCACCTTAAGCACTTTTGCAGTTCCTGATGCACCCGCTCATGTTGCGGAAAGCGTTTGAGTCACTCATTTTCTGTTTTGCATTGTTTTTGGCCATCCTCTTCAATGCAACAAAAATTCGCCTGGCAGGGAGGCCTGACGCTTAACCCTAAACCCGAAACCAAAACCCGTCAGTCCGCAGCGGCCGGGAACGGGAGAGTGGGCTTCATGGCTTTGAGACTTGGAGTCTAAGAACTTGTGTAGGGTTTAGAAAGCGTTCATGGTGCAAGGTTCAGATGAATGAGAGGCCGTTTTCGGGTTAGGGTCGTTGCGGCTTAACGTTTTGTTTGCAAGAGCCTACTCCAAAGTCTTCTTTAATTAAGCTTCAAACGCCGAGCCCTAACCTCAAGCCCCAAAGCGAGAACACCACAACCCCAGGCCTTCCTCCTCACCTTAACGTTAGACGCTTTTGCAGTTCATAATGTACCTGCTTATGCTTAGGTAAGCATCTGAGCGGCCGGGATCGGGAGCCGGGAACGGGAGAGTGGGTTTCATGGCTTTGAGATGTGGGCCTTAAGAAGGTTTTTAAGGTTTAGAAGGTATCAGGGTGTAGGGTTCAGAAGAAACCTTGTTTGACCTAGAATCATAGCAGTGTATCGTTTCAAGTGGAAGAGCCCAATCTAAAGCCTTATATACACCTCAACCGCCAAGCCCTAAAACTCAGCCCCCAAAGCCAGAAACTCTCAACCCTATAGGCCCTCGGCTTTTGTCATGCGCCTGCTTATGCGTTGAAGTCACCCGTCAGTCAGCAGCGGCCGGGAACAGGAGAGTGGGCTTCATGGCTTTGATACATGGAGCCTAAGAACTTGTGTAGGGTTTGATTCAAAGGGTCCCGCCCGCTTACTGGTTCGAAAGCATGGGCCCAATCTGAAGCCTTATACAAACCTCCAGTGCCACTCCCTATAAGTTTCAAGCCCCAAATCCAAAACCCCTTCAACCCTAGGCCCTCGTCCTCTCCTTAAACTCAAACGCTTTTTCGGTTCATGATGTACCTACTTATGCTTAGGTAAGCACTTGAGTCGCCCGTCAGTCAGCAGCGGCCGGGAACGGGAGAGTGGGTTTCATGGCCTTGAGATGTGGAGTCTAAGAACCTTGTTAGGGTTTTCGGGTTAAAAGAACGTTTAGGGTGTAAGGTTCAGAAGACTAGGCCTTGCTCGATTCAGGGTCGTAGGGGGCTTTACGTTTAGACGGAGCAAGTGCCTAATCTAAAGCTTCATGCAAACCCGAACGCCAAGCTCTGAGCCTCAATGCCAGAACCCCCCAACCCTAGGCCCTCGTCCTCCCTTAAGCCTTAAACACGTGTACAGTACATGATGCACCTACACAGTTGAGTCACCAGTCAGTCAGCAGCGGCCGGGAACAGGAGAGTGGGCTTCATGGCTTTGAGATGTAGAGACTACAGATTTTTTAAGTTTCGAAAGCATCTAGGCTGTAGGTTCAAAAGAACAGGCTTTACTCGTTTTAGGGTCGTTTGGGTTTTAAAGTTCAGATAGCAAAAGCTTAAACTACAGCATTGTAAAAACCTCAAACTTCAAGCCGCAAAACCAGAACACCCTCGTCCTCACCTTAAACTTAAACGCGTTTACAGTTCATGATGTACCTACTTATGCTTAGGTAAGCATTTGAGTCACCCGTCAGTCAGCAGCGGCCGGGAACGGGAGAGTGGGTTTCATGGCTTTGAGATGTGCAGCCTAAGAACCTTTTTCGGGGTTAGTGGGGGGCTCAAGAGCATAGGGTTTGTTTGATGTAGGACTGTAGCGTGGGCGGGTGGGATCGGATGAAGCGAACAATGCCAAGACCCGTAGGACTTTCTGAAGCTTGAACACCCTAAACCCTGGTACATCCCCTTAGGAGGGGAGGGTGTGCTGATTAGGGTGAGCAGACCTCGGACACTACCTTGTAACAAGCTTAAATGTAACTCAAGTTCCCAGCTGGCAAAATGGTGTTGTCGTTTCTGGTCTTAATGTTCCCATGTAAAACCCGATAGTCGGAACAAAGAGTCTCCTTGTCCAGAAGGTTTCTTGAGGTTGTAGGGTTTTAGAGTTTAAGGGTTCTTGATGGAGAATGTTATTGAATACGGTTGTGTGCAAGGTACAACGTGCAAGTGTAGGGTTTCAACGGATGTTTGATTATAAGGGTGTAAACCAGGGCTTGCCATGCTTTTTCGATGATATGGCTGTATAGGGTTTCAAGAATGTTTAGTCGACCCGAAAGGTGGGATCAAGCTATAGAACACTTAGGAAAGTACTCGTCTTTGGGATTCTTCCACGTGCTTTCATCCCCCCTTGGCAGGCTTTTGATGAGTGTCAGCCACGGGACGTGGCAAGTCGTGAATAGTTTTCAGAAGGCTGTGAGTGGGATGTAGAAGACTTCCCAACGCTGCTTTTTAAAAAAGGTCTTACATGGTTTTGGGTCGTCAACATCTTCGCGACATGGAAGTTGCGAGTTCAGGATTTAGTGATTAGTGTTTCTCGGGGTTTTAGGGGGTTCAATTATTCGGGGATTAGGCAGTGCGCAAGGGTTTTCGATGGGCCATGGGGTCTCGGGGTTCGCGGTTTAGACTTAAAGGAAAGTTATCAGGCCTTTGGGCGTTTAGACAACTTCAGCTTTTCAACATATGGGGGCCCTGAAGAATAAGTCAACACATTCCAGGGCAGTCCTTGTTGTCTAGTTATAAAAGCCCTCATATTGGGCTAGCTCTTGAAATTACTCGTAGGAGCCTGTACCCCAACATCTAAGTTAGTTGAGCTTTGTTGTTTTTTCATTGTTTTGAAAAGTTACCCTGTTGCCTTGCTGGGTTCGTGGTAAAAAACAGGGGAGTAAGCAGTAAAAACCTTGAACCCAGAAAACAGCACAGAGTTGACAACCCCAAACCCTACACCCGAGACAGGTTTCTGGCGTCGGGCCCGTCCCGCCATCATTAGATCTAGCACGCAACAACCTCACAGAACTGTTCACATAGTTTGGTGGCTAAATGCTTTTTAAGATTGCTTGAGGGATTTCGCTTCGTGGCTTTAGGACCTCAGGATTTTGCGCTTTGTGGGGCTTTTGATTTAGGATTGTAGGGGTTGGGGTGATGTGGGTGGTTTCCGGCACCATAAGCCTACACCGTAAAACCTCGAAACCCGTTGAACCAACTTATCATCCTTAAACCGCAGAACACGTGTCCGCGTACCACCCGTCAGTGAAGCAACATGTTACTTTAAATGTTCAAGGACTTCGTATTTCGTGTTCGATTTAACGTGTATTCTTTAGAAATTGGGAGGACGGCCGCCTACAAAAAGGCGACGGCGATTGCGTGGTGTCACGCAGTGGAGGTTGGCACTGGGGGAATCAGCTCTGGGGTTTCAGAATTCGGGCTTAGGTTGCGATTGGATTTCGATACTACGAATGGTTGGGTCTTCTGGGGTTTTGCGGCTTTCTGGGTGTTTCTTGTTGAAATTCAGGAGTTTCCGAGATTTCTGAAAGGGTCTGGAAAGCACCTTATACTACGAAACGGTGCTGCGCGGGAAAACCTAGGAATCCTTGAACCCAAACACTAACCCTATAACCCTGAATGCATGTAAACCCTACTCCCAAACCCTAAACCTTAAGCCCAACGCCCTTACACAGCTCGACACCCTCATCAACCTTTTAGATCCAGCCGGGGTGTGGCTTGGAAGGATTCAGCTTAAGGCTTGCCAAGGCTTATGAAGGTTGGAGCTTCGGGCGTAAGGGTTTAGGGTTCGAGAGTTTAGACTTTGTAGGTTTGGAGGGTAAGGTTCATGGTTTCAAAGTTCAGGGTTCAAGGGCGCAGGGCTCTGGGGTTTAGGGCTGAGCGCAATTCAGGGGCCAGAACAGTACATTCAGGGCTCGTGAATAACAGGGTCGCGCACTACATACTTAAAAACCATATGGTATCTGGAACCCGAAACCCCATACCCAGACAGGTTTTCTTAGGTTTGTGTACGGATTTGTTAAGGGTTTGTTGCCGGGTTCAACGGCCGGGTTCCTTGACGGTGTCATTCAAGGCTTCCCCTCCGGATTTTAAAAACTCCTCCTGCCCAACAGCCTTCATACCTTACCCGGAGTATTCCGACTCGTACGTGTAATTTTGGGGTTTAGGGGTTTTGGGGTTTGGGGTTCAGGGGTTTAGGGGTTAAGGGTTTAGGGTTTAGGTATCAACAGAAGCTTCTTTGTAAAGGAGCTAGATGTCTTGAACATGGGATCGTGCCAGGAGCAGGAACATTGGAGCTGAAGAAGTGTGATGCCTTGTCTGGCAATGAGGCTTGCAACTGCTGCTAGGGCTTGGGTTTAGGGAGGGTTTGGGGTGGCTCCAAGCACCGATCAATCATTACTGTTGCTATGATTGAGGGCTGCAGGAAGGGCTGGCAGTTCAAGCAAGCTTTCGATTGCGCGGTATGGAAAACCGCGAAGCCTACGCGTTGCAACAGCACTCAGCGTGGCAGATGTCTCGGGGTTTGGGGGGTTTAGCAAACCGACTGAGGGGTTCGACAAAGCCCTGCGGTTTCAGGGTTGAGGGTGTGGGGATGCCATCTTCGGAGAAGCTCAAGGCTTTGCATGGTCTATCTTAATGATGGCGATGTTGAAGGTACATGCTCGCCAGATCGCTAGATCCTAAACCCTAGCCCCAAACTCAGACTACTGATCTACAAATCTTTTAAAGGCTTTCAAAAAGACCGTGAAGCCCGTGTAGCCCTAAGCTTGAAATCCAACTCTGAACCTGAACCTTATCGCTACTGCTGACGTTCAGGGCGCTTTTCGCATTATCGAGCGCCAAGAGCCCCGAGAGTACGAGCTCTACCGCGCGAGCCTCACACGATTCTTATATAGTAAACCCCAAAAAGTTGGAAACCGGATTAAGGACAAATAGTGCTGGGATTCCTTATACATTACTCTTAAGGATTGAGGCTATTGGGTTTCCAACTTTTGGGCATCTACTGTAAACCAAATTGATGAAGTTGCGGTCAGGTTGCGCGTGTGCGCGTTCACAGGTCTTCATGGGATGATGCTCATGGGTTTTATGACGCGATTTTTGTGTGTATGTAAAGGCCTTATAAGCCGCTTAATCCCAAAGCCCTATGTACAGACTCAATAGAGCCACGCCTGGTGGTGCTCACCTAAGGTCTCTATAGGGTTTGTGTAAGGTGTCTCTGCAGCTTTATTATGGAAGGATCGTGCTTTTTCCGTTTCTGGATGTGCAACCTTCTCCCCAAGCTCTTGCTGGTAGGGTTTAGGGTTTAGGGTTCAGGGGTTAGGGTTTCGGGTTTAGGGTTTATAGGGTTCAGGGGTTAGGGCGATTCTCCTTCAAGAACCACAACGTACAGCATTCCGAGTCCCCAACCCCAGAGACTCGAGGACTCTTCTGCTCCGGAATGCCTCTTAAATGGTAGCAGGTAGCAGTACCTGGGCCTTAATAATGCGATTTAAGGTTTAGGGTTTAGGGATTCGGGTTCGGAGCACAGGATAAAGTAAACCTTGTAGGTGCGAAAAGACGAACCACGACTGATAGTTATGACCTCTATGCTCGGGGCTCCTCAGAAAGAACCCTAACCCCAAAAAATCTGGTAGTCTCTCTGATCTCACACGGAAAACTTACAAGCAAAACAAAACCAAAAGCATCCACACAGAGTTCCTGAGGTTAGACTCCAAGCGAAATCACATAAACCCTCGACAGAGCACGCCTAGCTTTCCAACAATCCCTCGCAAGGCTCACCCAAAACATCTTAGTTCCTTCCCCAAGCCTCAAAAGCCATATTTCCAACAATCACCCCCTAACCCGTGAAACTCTCAACCTCTACAGCGGACACTGAAGCGCCAAGCCCCAAAATCCTAAAGCTCTGAAAGCCTAGCTCCCAAATCCCAAGTCACGAATTATGTCACAAAGAAAACCAACAGGCTAGCAATTTCCCCTAGCCCTAAAGCCCTGATATGTAAACAGCACTTTGTATAAACACCATCAACAGTCCCCCAAAAAGCCCCGAAGCCCGCTAAAGCTGTGTCAACCGCTGCCCAAAGACCTAGGCTCCATACTCAGCCTCGATCCTTGCCACCTAAACCCCCCAAAACCTACAGTCCTGAACCCTATCACATAACTTCTTGCGGTGACCCTCGAAGTCTGAAACCCCCTAAGCCCCAAGCTCCATACATACAGGAACCTGAACAGAACCCCTGAACTGTGCCCGAGTGTTCGTGTGCTGCTCAGGAGAGGAGCTGGCAAAGTACCAGTGGGACAAAGTGTTTCCCGACCTACCGGACAACTGAAGCGAGGAAAAAGTGAATAGTTAGTTACAGTAGTCACATGAAAATGTAAGAGTAAGAGTAATAGTAGTGGTACTAGTAGTAGACGCATTGTAGAGTAACAGCAAAGGCAACAAGAGTAAGAGTAAGAGTAATAGTAATTAGTAGTAACCCAAATCGTAATAATAGTAGTAGTAAGAACAATATGAAGAAGACCAAGAATAACAATAACAAGAAGAATGATAAACAATGAAAATACTAAGTAACAATACAAACAATAGTAACAACAAGAATAGCAAATGATGAGAGTAATGATGCTCATCGCAATAGTCATCGTAGTAACAACGGTAATGGTAATGACAACAGCAATCATCATTATATTGGTGATAGTAACAGTAATGACAATAATAAAAGTAAATAATACGAAAATAAGCGTAATGCTGAAGCAATGGTCAATAGCAACAGTTGTAATGGAATAAGTAGCCGAAACAGGAATATTAACAGTTACAAATCATAAATAATACTAGTAAAAAAGTGATTCATCTGCCTTTATCACGGGTTTTGTAAGGTTTTGTGTAGGGTTTCATAGCGTCTCGCGGGCCCATGCCCACCCTTGAAACCTAAACCCGAAGCACACTGCGAGCCCGAAGCCAAGCCACAGGCCCTGGACGCAGAGCCCGAAAAAGAGGAAAGATGCACACTCATCAAGCAGGCCTGCTGTTTCGGGAGGTTATGTAGAGGGCTGCTCTGCCTGTACCATGCTCGCGTGGAAACCTCGGAGATACGCTTCTCTCGTCTTGTTAAGCTCTCCTGTTTAAGTCTGTCAGGAAGGCATGTTTTCTGCGTAATTCCCCGATCATGGTAGCAGAAGCGGGTTGCTGAACAAGACTCCAAGAGCTGCTGTATCAGCATCCCAAGAGCACCCTAAGCCATAAAGGCCAGTACATCCCAAACCCCAGGCCCAGAAGCTCTACATGTCAAAGCTTACCTACTTAACTAAGCCCGAACTTTCTGCGATGCTTCGCATGCAAGCCTATCCTAGTACAATAAACCCCCCCAAAGTAGATAGAATAATGGCCCAGCGACTGTAACACGCTATGATTCCACATACTTTTGGGGTCTAGGTAAACCCTAAACCGACACCGTCAAGCCCTAAACCCGACACCGTCAAGCCCTGAACCCTAAACCCGGCACCGTAATATAGGGCCTCAATAATTTCTATTTTTTGGGTGGTTCCTTATTATAATCGTAGCACAATATACTACCTCAAAACCCTATTCTAATTATTCCTTGGAGCGCGACATTGCCAAACTGCTCCAGCAAACGAAGCCGTCTGCTGAACCCTTACAGTACTGAGGTCTCAAAGCGATGCCCCCCCAATTCTTTTCAACCAGATCGAGGTTCGGTGTATACTGTAGCATGATATTCTGGGGATTGTAGGACATTCTGAAGCCAAGGGAAGCGTTAAAGTTTAACCCTAAAGCAAAGCCCCTGGAAGCCATGGACCATATCCGTCTCATGGGCCGGCGGAAAGATCGCGGCGAGCGAGAGGCCATCAGAAATCGCAATGTCGGATTTAGCAGTTTAGGTTTTAGGGTTTAGGGTTTGGGTTGAAAAGTTCGTGAATCCCATTTGCCCTTATACTGGGTTGCCGTGGCTCAAGGCCTGGACAAACTTCAGAACACACGTGCTCCTATGACCTACCATATGCTGGCTCTTACCAGCCCAAAGAGCCCACCCTTTCAGGGCTTCTTATTATCTATTTTTTTGTTTGGCCTTCACTGGATGGAAGCCAAGCCTTTGCAGCACTTTGACCCCTCAACCCTCGAAAGCAACCCCAGGCCCCCGACCCCCGACCCTAAACCCGAAAACCCTAACCCCCATACTCAAAGTCTACAACCTTAGCCCCCAAATCCGAGAAATCCAAGCCCTACAACCTAAACCCTAAAATCTTACATCCGAAACACGAAACTCTAAGCCCGAAGCCCTAAAACCCAAAACCCTAAACTCTAACACCTTTGTATACAACCCACAAACCCTGCACTCCACACCCGGAGGCCTCCCTGAACCAGACCGAGAAGCTGTCCCAGCCGGGGCAGCAGTGCAGCTGCCGTGATTACTCGTTCTGGTGCTATTACGATTTATCTTACGATTACCCAGAGCCCCAAGTGGTAGACCCTAAACCCTAAACTTCAGAAGACGGAAGGCTTCCTTTCAGCTAGTTTCACGCTTGCATGCCAAGAGAGTCGGAGCCAGTGCAAAAGCAAGGGTTTCTGAGGCTCAGAGTTTAGGGTTTAGTGGTTCATGGTTAGGGTTTAGGCTTTGGGTGTTTCAACTTAGGGGTTTTGGGTGTAAGGGGTTGAGGGTCTGGGTTTAGGGTTGAGGGTTTTGGAGCGCACAGTTCAAGCTAAACTAGCAATGAAATCTTCGGATTGGGGTTGAAGGGGGCTCAGTAGTATCGTCAGAATTAAACGAGGGCTTCTGATCTATGTTGATACCAGCGCATCATGTGTAGGCTTCTTGAAGAATGGAGGTCGGTGAAAGCATTGTTGAAACAAGGGGCCTTGAAGGATGCTAGCATTTGCAAAGTGTTCAGCCCGCAAAATATCTGAACCCTAAATCCTAAAATCTAAGCCCTAAGTTGGTCTGACTTTACGGTTTTTCCGGGCTTGCGTTTACGGTGTGTTTCAAAGGTGAGGTTGTAGTGTTTAAGGGGCTATGCCCTCCAATAATCAGAACCTAGCGCTACTAAGCCTGGAGGATCATGGCTGGTATTGCCGTGAGTACGTCAACCGAAATTAGAACCTATGTAACCCTAAGCCTTATACACCTTATAAATCATAAATCATAAACCCTAAGCCCGAAGCCCTACGACGCTACTACAGACCTTGACCATGGCCCCAAACTGCAGTTCTTGCCGCACGTGTTTCGGCTGCAGCTTGGGAAACAAGATGCCGTTGCCACCGTTGGTCATGGCGGAGGCTCTCGTGTTTAACTTGTTTTGCAAGGCTGCAAGGGTGGTTTAGAGTTCTTTTTGTTGGGTGGGCTTTCGGCTTGGACTCGTCTTTTGAGGGTTACCGTAACGCTGTGTGTCTGTACTGTTGTAGGATTCTGGGACTACTGGGGGGCCAGACCTGTTTGGGTCTCGGGTTTTAGAGGCGACATGCAGGTTTAGGCCTTGGGGATTTGCGGTTTTAGGGGTGTTGTTTTCCGGGCTTATGTTCGGTGTGAGGGGTCGTCGCCCTTCTCTTTGATCTCTTTCTCATTTTTGCCAAGAAGTCGTCTTTCTTTCATCACTGCTCGTTGTATGCTGACGGACTTCTTCGTACGATTGTTTCCATCAGTGCAGTGGTACCGACTGACGATGCTTGTGACGGCTGCCTTGCCAGTGATGATGCTGGTGGTGATGATGTTGGTGGGGTTGAATATTCATGGCCACCGCGAGGACAGATAAGTTGGATGGCATATAACTAGGACGGTTAGGCTCGGGGGTTAGTGACAGAAGCGTGTTCATGAGAAAGGTAGCCATTTCTGCGATCATGATTCGGTGACGATTGTGATGATGAGGAGGAAGACGAAGCTGACGATGATGCGGGTTGACACGAAGGTTATGAAGAAGACTAAGGGCGATGATGAAGATGACGATGATGCTTAGTTTCACGGCTCCGGCCTGGCTGCGTGCCGCGAGGGTTTTGTTGGGCGCTCGCTTTTGTGGTTGGCCCAGGGCCGAGGGTCTTTCGCTGTGACCTCCGTAGACAAAACCCTTGCGAACGTGTCAGAGCGAAGCCTTATAAACTTTTCTAAACCCTTAAATCCCAAATTCCTACACCCTAAACCCCAACCCAAGATACTTTCGTCGCAGAGGAGCCGCGAGGTTCTCCTCAGTCAGATCCGAGGCGGGGCGCAGGCATGACAAAGCCATGTCCCAATGTAGGGAAGGGTCTAGGGTTCAGGGTCTGCTTTGGCTTGAGCGCCTCTTATCGCTGAAGTGACCTTGCCGCCCTTTCGTTTTGTGCTGTCTGCCCACCAAATATGAGCAAAACCAGCTATCTAGGCTTTTACTTTCGACACCATGTGCACGACCCGGCTCACGCAGGAAAGATCTGAATCCAAATCTGCCGCACAACACCCGAAAGGCAACCTCAAGCATTACAACTAGCGATGACAAGCTCAAAGAACTTAGTAGGAGTCATTTTGAGGGTTTAGGTTTCTTAGGGCTTGGGGCCACAAGCAGTTTATGACCAGGGCCTTTTTATGACAGTGTATTTACAAGCCCAGCCAGACATAGTCGGCTTGCTGATGAATTTGGTCCCATGACCCTTCAAATCAGAAAGCCTAAGCCGAGTTTAAGTTTCAAGTTTCAGTCGCAGTGCTTTCAGAGCTGAAGGTTGAGAATTTGACGTTCCGGTTGGAGGTGTAGGACTTGGCATTGGGTTCGTGACGAAGAGTACACCGGACACAGGGGCTCTCGGCTGCGGAGTTTGTGTCATGAACCTTCTGCCCTACAAGGGAACCACAAACGTTGTCGTTGTGCAGCGTTTCGTTGGAAAAAATGCCCACTCACGCTCGATCCCTCAATCCCGGATCCCCGAACCATCAGTGTAAGTCTTTGACCGAATCACCAAGGCCCTCAATCTAAATCCTATAAGCCTCAAAGCCAACCCTTCCAATCTTTAGGCCGCCGGCCTTGAGCTCTGATGTTGCAATGTCTTGGTTTAAGGTTCAGGCTCAATCCCTTAACCCTAAACCCTAAACACTATCAACCCTAAGCCCTAAAACACTAAATACTATAAAGCACTATAAACCCTAAAGCCCTCAACCCCGAACTTTACAGCGAGGAGTCCCAGCTACCGGACGATTACTGAGGCAAAGCCCCCGCTGGGGTTCAGGCAGACTTGAATCTTAGGGCTTTATGGTTTAATAGTTTTTACCAGGGTTTTTAGGGTTTAGGGCTTTCGAGTTCAGAGTTTAGTACGGTTTTTTGGGATTTAAGGCTTCAGGGCTTTAGGGTTTTAAGGTCTTTA